GGCAGCAGCGGGAGGCCCCATTAGCTAAAGTGGTGCTTCAAGTTAAGAAAAGTTTCAGGTTAAGAACAGACCTCCAAAATGAATTAAGTTCTTAACCCGAGGTACCACTGTATTACATGGCACTATGTATTATTTCGCTTGCTTCAAAATGTGGAAAGCCAACCCTATTGCCTGGGGTGGGGATCCCTCCTGCTCACCCCGGACTCCTGCTCCCCCAAGTCTTGCATTAATGGCACCACTAAGCAGGGCCAGCCCATACATGAGGCAAAGTGAGGCAGCTGCCTCAGGCTGCAGGATCCAAAGGGGCAGCAGAACCAGTCTCCAAATAAAACATCACCAGTCTCCAATAAAGCATCGCTGTGACAGCAGCAACTGCAGCACGCTCCTCTACGTTGGCCTCATGGTGCATAGGAGACGCTGCCGGTCTCCTCCCAGCCGATTTTGGGCACCGAGATCTTGTGCAATTTCACCCTGGGGGACAAAGCATTTTGCGGGGACTGCGATCTCACACAGTGCCCCAAAACATGCATTTTTGGGTGCTGTGAGAGCACAGCTCCCCCAAAGTGTGTCTTTTTGGCTCCATGAGCTTGCGTAGGTCACATGACAAGGACAGACAGGAAGTCGCGACTCGCGCATCCCAGTTTTGGGACTCAACATGTTGGAGGGTATGAAATGAGGATTATATATATATATATATATTTACAGCTATGGAGGTGTAGCAGGCATAGTAAAGGGTAAAGGGACCCCTGAACATTAGATCCAGTCGTGACCGACTCTTGGATTGCGGCGCTCATCTCGCTTTATTGGCTGAGGGAGCCGGCGTAGAGCTTCCGGGTCGTGTGGCCAGCATGACTAAGCCGCTTCTGGCGAACCAGAGCAGCGTACGGAAACGCTGTTTACCTTCCCGCCGGAGCGGTACCTATTGATCTACTTGTACTTTGACGTGCTTTCGAACTGCTAGGTTGGCAGGAGCAGGGACCGAGCAACGAGAGCTCACCCTGTCGAGAGCAAAAAGTTGACAGCTCAGTTAGGTAGGGAGGAGCCCGTCCTGGTTTCCCTTCTGAATCTCCAGCCATCCCTGCCTCAGCTTCCCATCAGCCTCCTCTCCTCCCTCCTCTCTCCCACTAGACAGTCATATAGAGTAAGCCCTTTTGAACACAGGGGGAACTAATTCCACCTAGGATCGCACTGCAATTGTGTGACCTCTGCATGTTCTCTCGGACATAAGGCCCACTCAGTTCAGTGCAGTTTTCTGCCTCCTAACTGTGCCCAGGATTGGAGCCCTGGGCTTCATTTGCCAGTAAAACAAAGTTTAACATTATAAAGTAAATGGATTGGAGGTGGAGATTAGTCACAAGCAGGAAAGGACGTGCCGGTGGATTTTATTATATATATGAAAGAGGGAGTGAAAGAGAAAGAGAGAGAGAGAGATGCATTGACTATCTGCAGCAATTTAGTACTTGGTTGATTAATTTCCTAGTTAATGAGTTAAAAGCAGCCTACTTAATCCACTAAAAATGTAATTGTTCAGCAGTCCCAATTCCAATATGATTTACACCCTTTGCAATACATATTTGAACTTTAATGCATTTGGATAAAGTTCCTGTTCATTTCCGAAAAGCCACATTAAATTATCTTTATGGGCCTGCTACTTCTCTGTTTTAGTACTCATAGAGCCTACTCCTGTGTGTGGGTACTGGGAAGTGAATTCACCAAATTGGATGAGCCCCAAGCTATCAAATCAATGACTTGCTCTTCCATTCCTTAGTTCAATGGGGCTGACAGATTGCTGAAACTTTTTGCTGCACCAAGACCACCACCAACTTGCCTATTTAATACGACCTCCTAGGAAGTTCTCCTCAATGATAACAATAATGTAATAATAATTTATTATTTATACCCCGCCCATATGGCTGGGTTTTCCCAGCCACCCTGGGTGGCTCCCAACACAATACAGTGGTACCTCGGGTTACATACGCTTCAGGTTACATACGCTTCAGGTTACAGACTCCGCTAACCCAGAAATAGTACCTCAGGTTAAGAACTTTGCTTCAGGATGAGAACAGAAATTGTGCTCCTGCGGCGCGGTGGCAGTAGGCCCCATTAGCTAAATTGGGTGCTTCAGGTTAAGAACAGTTTCAGGTTAAGAACGAACCTCCAGAACGAATTAAGTACTTAACCCGAGGTACCACTATATTAAACAGAATAAAACTTCAAACATTAAAAACTTCCCTAAACAGGGATGCCTTCAGGAGTCTTCTAAAAGTCAGATAGTTGTTTATTTCCTTGACATCTGGTGGAAGGGCATTCCACAGGGCGGGCACCACCACCAAAAAGGCCCTCTGCCTGGTTCCCTTTAACTTCACTTCTCGCAGTGAGGGAACCGCCAGAAGGCCCTCAGAGCTGGACCTCAGTGTCTGGGCCGAACGATGGGGGTGGAGACGCTCCTTCAGGTACACTGGGCTGAGGTCGTTTAGGGCTTTAAAGTTCAGCACCAACACTTCATTGCAATAGGATTAGTAGTAGTAGTAGTAGTAGTAGAAGAAGAAGAAGAAGAAGAAGAGTTTGGATTTGATATCCCACTTTATCACTACCCAAAGGAGTCTCAAAGCGGCTAACATTCTCCTTTCCCTTCCTCCCCCACAACAAACACTCTGTGAGGTGAGTGGGGCTGAGAGGTTTCAGAGAAGTGTGACTAGCCCAAGGTCACCCAGCGGCTGCATGTGGAGGAGCGGAGACGCGAACCCGGTTCCCCAGATTACGAGTCTATCACTCTTAACCACTACCCTCATTCTTGTGCAACAGCCATTCATTTCTATGGGCCTTGAACTGACATTTGGATTTCCCACAAAATACCTTTTGCAAACCTCGTTCCTGATTGTCACCCCCTACCCCTACCCATTCTCCAAGGACTGTTGCCAGAGTAACATTCGAGAACCACAAACCATCCCATTGATTGGAGGTTAATGCAGAAGAGCAATTAGCTAAGCTTAGACTGTGGACAGGGCCCAGCAGAAGGAGTGCAGGGGGTCCATCGTACTCCTGCCCTGGGTCAAAAAGATGGCACCTGAGAGGCAAAGCAGGGGAGCTTGTATTGTGTGAAGACTAGCATTTTACATTTCCTGTAAGCCTACATAAAACCCTTCTTTCCCTCCTCTGCCGCCCACATTCTCCCAGGCAATCCAGAGAGGCGGTGCTGAAGTTCTGGCAAAAGATAGCACAAGGCAAGATGACAGGCTTGCTTGGAAAACAGAAAGAAACAGGGATACAGATGCGTGTATGTCAGGGAACTGCCATTGGAGCTAGAGGCGGAGGGAGGGCTCCAGAGGGATGGCGGAGAGGGTCCCAGTAGGGAGAGAGGCAGCCCGTCCGCTGGGGAAGGAAATCAGCGTAACACCAGTAGAGAAGGGGGGCAGATGGGGGAATCGGGGAGGAGGCTCCAAGACTCCTCGCCAGAGATCAGCGGAGAGAGTACGGGTCCTCCGCTGCCCACACCCTCCCTGCGCAGAAGGCTTCCGCGCAGGGAGACTAGGCGGAGACTAGGCGTCAAGGAACTTTTGTGCTGGAAGAAGTTTAAGAAACGCCCACTGACGGATTCTGCCAGCGACTGAGACAGTCACGATGCTGGAGGCTGTTCAGTCAGAAAGGGTTTAACCAGGTAACCTCGCCAGGAGTGGCGGCAACTTACGCACGAGCAACCCCTAAACCCATTACAGTGTAGAAGTGAACTTGGAAGATGAGAGGAGTCATCATAACGTAGTCCTTGATGTTGCACAACCGAGGTTCCATGTCGAAAGATGATAGAAAAGGTCACATCCCTCTGCCTAAAACATTCCCCAAAGGAACATGCCATCAAGTTTTGCCCAAAAGCATATTGAAATTCCAAAGCACTAATGGAGAACTATGTGTGAGAGTTTTCTCTTGCTTCCCATGCCCATTCTTTAGGCACAAGACAGTCAAGACTAGCACTTCTATCGAGGCCTTCTCGGTAGTGGCACCCACCCTGTGGAATGTCCTCCCACCAGATGTCGAGGAATTAAACAACCATTCAAATTTTAGAAGAGGCAGCCCTGTAAGTTTTTAATATCTGATGTTTTTGTGTTTTTAATATGTGTGTTAGGAGCCGCCCAGAGTGGCTAGGGCAACCCAGTGAGATGGGTGGTATATTATTATTATTATTATTATTATTATTATTATTATTATCAGTCTGCACTGATATCTGCTGAAGGCGCTAGTATCTGCTGGTTCTGACCCTCAGTACCTAAAACAAATTTTGTAAATGCATAGTTAAAGCAATTAATCTATTGAACTTGTTAATAGAGATTTGGTGACTTGTTTCCAAATGTTTGTGTTAGTTTAAGAATGCTATTAACAATTCCAGAAACAATAGCTTCTGGAGAGATATCATTTAGCAAAAGTTAGCTAATTAAGAATTATTTAAAGTCTACAATGTCTCAGAAACGTTTTGTGGATTTGGTCAGGCTAGGTATTGAATCCAACATTGCCAGAACAATTAATTTCCATGCTGTGATTCAAAATTTTAGACCTAAAAGGCCAGAAAACCTCTTTAAAAATAAAAAGTCCCCCCCCCATACTAAGGTCTTCTGATGATCTGATCTGCATTGCAATATAAAATAATGTTCCAGTGTGAATTCTTTCTCCTTATCTGTATTGTGGCATAAACAAAGATGTTCAAATCAAATGTGCTTTCTTATCTCTGATCCTCTTTCATTTCATTTATATTTATCAAGGAACAGCATAAGGCCTCAAATGCAGAAAATTAACACAGCACTCCATCCCATGCCTCTCTCGTCTTCCATATCCCCTTGGTCCCCACTCAGCCATGAAGCTCACTGGGTGACCTTGGGCCAGTCACCATTTCTTGGCTTAACCTACCTCACAGGGTTGTTGTGAAGATTAAATGGGGGGGGGGAACCATGTACACCACCTGGAGATCCTTGGAAGATGAAGGTGGTATATAAATGTTAATAATAATAACAAACCACAACAACATGGGGATCCAACCTGCAACCTTGGCATTATCAGCACCATGCTCTAACCAACTGAGCTATCCAGGCTGCTAATCGTCATCACCATCGGGGCAGTCTATTACTACCCTTTAACATTACAGTGGTACCTTGGGTTACAGACGCTTCAGGTAGATAGTTAAGAGCTTAGGTGGCTTCAGCGATGGGCGCCCAGCACCCCTTGGAATTCGGCGCCCGGGTGCCCCGCACCCCTTGCACCCCCAGGTAAAAACGGCCCTGGCCACCCATGTGGGATGACTTTTAAAAACAATATTAATTATTTTAGATTCAGTATTTCAGGGAGCGAGCGATGCTCTCTTGCACCCACGTCTAGCAGCATTAGAACCTTTCAATGTGGTGTGGATTGCAAGATTGTTATTGTTATTATTTTTAATATGTGCCAGCAGTTGGCATCCCGATCCCCTTCACTTTGTACAGGGTAAATGGAGTAGAACGCTTTCCCATCCTCCCCCCACAGCCCAAGCCCTACGCTATGTCTGATTTCCATTACTGTCAAAGAACCCTGCTCTGGTTTCCATTATACCCCTTGATTCTCAACCCTATAATTTCTCCTAATGTCGTCCCGCCACCTCCCATTTCACTTGTTAATCATCTTTTGGTTAAAGGTTTCCCATCTTCCTTTCTCTCCGTACAAAGTGTCCTTTCAACGGGACGTCTCGCTCTGAAGAATGACAGGCCAAAGGGGGCAAAGCGACGTAATGCGGCTTTGATTTCTTACAAGGAACCGGCGCAACCAAACACAACAATGTCCGCGAAACGTGATCCGTTAACGGGGGCGGGGGGGGGAGAGCAGAAAGCCCTGAATTAGAGAAAGATGGGGGGAAAAGGATGCTCTTGCAGGATGCTCTTTGTGCTAGTGGCAGGGAAGGGAGTGTCATCGAAAGAAATTCAGATTACGCAGTGAAGGATAAACAACCGCACGTTCAGGGAGGGTATTAGAGAAAGATCAAGCTCCTTGTGGTGACTATAATAAGGCACATAAATATGTCTGCAACGGCTTGTGGATTGCATTATCAATATTTTTCTGCTTAAAATATTGATTGATTCCACATGCAAAAGGTCCCGGCAGGCTTTCTTCTCACCGGCCGGGGTTTTAGGAGCCGATTGATCCGCTTATGTTGTTGATAGAACAGGATTTCAGTTGTTCAAAGGAAATGAACTTCAAACACCGGGTTGCTGTGGATATCGAGGAAAGAGAAGACGAGAGGTTGGCGCAAGCAGACTCGTGTTAGCATTTACAGGGCAGTATTGGGGGGGTGTCTTGCTCTCGGTGCTGGATTTCCTAAATAGTAAAAAAAGGGGGGGAAGTGGTGCCAGGGATCGTAGAATTGTAGAGTTGGGATGGCTGGCTTCGGGCGTTGCAAAAGGAAAGGAAAGTCATCAGCCTTCATGGCTACAGAGAGATGCTTGTATTTATTAATTGAAATATGTATAAATCCACACTTTCGTAAAACTATATCAAGGTAGTATGCAGCATACAAAATACAGTCGTACTTTGGAAGTCTAACGGAATCCGTTCCGGAAGTCCATTCAACTTCCAAAATGTTTGGAAACCAAAGCACAACTTCTGATAGGCTGCAGGAAGCTCCTGCAGCTAATTGGAAGCCGTAGAAGCAGTGCTGGGCGTTCAGCTTCTGAAAATCGTTCAAAAACCGGAACACTCACTTCTGGGTTTCGATCGTTCGGGAGCCGATTTGTTCGGGAGCCAAGGAGTTTGAGATCCAAGGTACGACTGTACCAGAAAATCGGTAGAAGCATCCATAAAAATGTAATTAAAAACATCAACAAAACATCGGAAAATAAATACCGATTGGTTAGAAAGAGACATGCCTATTGAGGAGGCCTGTCCAATCAGTGTAGTTTTCGGAACATGTCTAAAAGAATACAGGGATGGTTCTAGTGGAAGAGGGTTCCACAGGGCAGAGGTGGCCACACTGAAGTCCCTAGGGAACAACAACCAAACCTCAGGGCCATGGGGGTGTTACATTTAAAGGAGAATCTTGCAAATGTGCATTTTCTGGAACAATAAGTGAGCTGAAGCACAGCCGCCCTACGAAATTTGCATGTATCTGAATTTTGTGATGCTGTTCTCCAACCAAATAACGTTTGTGGAAATGAATATTTTAGGGGATAGCACACATGACAATGAATATACTAGTGAAAGGGTGCTGGGAATTGTAGCTCTGTTAGGGTTAAACTACAGTTCCCGTGATTCTTTCTTGAGGGGAGGAATGAGTTTTCAACATGTAGTATGTATGCATCCATGCAGGAGGAAGAGAAGCAAAAGCAACGTCACAGTTACTGGCCAATCAGTACTGCTTTCGAAAATTCCTTCCTGACTACCCCCAATGTGGGGTACAGCCCAAAGCAGGGTATGAACCTTAGCCCAAATCCATTGTCTTGAGCCTAAATCTATGCCTTTTACTTGTCCAGCAATCTGTGTAGGCAGAGGTTTTTCTGGGCCCCGAACTGATTTCCCATCTGTTCCTGAAGGTGGTTGCAAAATCTCTAGGATCAATCAGAGAGCCCTGCTCCCAAGTGCTCCTCGGGATGGCTGCCAGGAAATGGCTCGGATTCCTGCTTGCGAATGGGAATCCCATCCCTGGACTCGTTAACTCCAGGCGTCGTTAAATCACAGGCCACCGTCCTTTCTTTGGACAGCTGGGTCGATTGACGTGCTCACCTCCCGCTGCTGGGGCACCCGCAGAAACTGCTGGTGTCTGGATAGGCAAGATTCATTGACACAGCCACTCGGCTGTTTGCTTGTCATCCTGCATTTTGGGTCAATGGCCTTTCGAAGTTCCTTGTCCTTAAATCAGGTTTATTTCCCTTCCTTCCCTTAAAAAAAGGCCTCAGTGGCATGGGAGGGTGGAAATGTGGGGATCTGGAGGAAGAAAGGAGGGACTGTGGACGGGAACAGGTCAGGTCAACATGTGGGGCACAGCCCTACGATGTCAAGGGACTGTCCAGATCCCAGGTGTTCCCTAGGCCTGAAATTCAGTGGTGGATGCTCAAGACCATCCCATAAAGCAGCCACTTCCTTTGCTTTTGACAAGGGAGCGTGCTTAGGTGGACACAGAAGGAGATCTGCCGAGCCACCACAGCTGCACCTTTCATCATTTTGTGTCTGCTTAAGTTATGAGCATCATCACAATCCCCCTGAACTCCTCCAGATCTTCATCTGAGCCAGGGCTGGTTGGTGGTATAGTTAGGCAATTTTAGACTCTGGACATTATGATGCTATGGCAGCCCACTTGACAGTCTGAGGGCCTCTCTCTCCCCTTTTCAGAGGGTATTGTCTAAATAATAATAATAATAATAATAATAATAATTTATTATTTATACCCCGCCCATCTGGCTGGGTTTCTCCAGCCACTCTGGGCGGCTTCCAACCAAATATTAAAAACAATACAGCGTCAGACATTAAAAACTCCCTAAACAGTTGTCTTTTAAAAGTAAAATAGTTGTTTAATGCCTTGACATCTGCTGGGAGGGCGTTCCACAGTGCAGGCGCCACTACCGAGAAGGCCCTCTGCCTGGTTCCCTGTAACCTCACTTCTCACAGTGAGGGAACCAACAGAAGGTCCTTGGAGCTGGACCTCAATATCCAGGCTGAACAATGGGGGTAGAGACGCTCCTTCAGGTATACTGGGCCGAGGCCATTTAGGGCTTTAAAGGTCAGCAGCAACACTTTGAATTGTACTCAGAAACGTACTGGGAGCCAATGAAGATCTTTCAGGACCGGTGTTATATGATCTCGGTGGCCACTCCCAGTCACCAGTCTAGCTGCCGCATTATGGATTAATTGCAGTTCCGAGTCACCTTCAAAGGTAGCCCCACATAGAGCGCATTGCAGTAGTCCAAGCGGGAGATAACTAGAGCAACTAGTCTATTACTTCACTTACTTCAAAATGTGGTAAGCCAACTCTGATGCATTTAGTGGCCCTCCTAGTCATTCTGTTATGTGGGGACCTGGACCTCTGCCCTAAAGTTCTGCCCTGATAGCACCACTGGTCCTGTCCTGGATCAATAAACTGCTTGGTTTGGTTATGGACTTGTTGCATTTACACAAACAAGGGCTATACCATCCATACAATAAATGAATTTTTAAAATGCATGTAAAATTATGAAACATTTGATGAGTTCTATCGGGGGGACGACGACGACTGTGCAACAGAAACAGCTGAATCCCAAACTGAATCAGACCAATTCAGAGGGAACTAGAGTCAGGTGGAAACAGCTTATGATTGCCCCAGATCTGATCTGGCTGCCTGGAGCAATACTGGACTGTCAGGGGGGCAGAGACTGTCAAGGAGAGGAAAGTCAGGTGGGAAGAAGAAGCTGCCAGTCAACGTCTGATCTTCAAGCACCTTCCATCCTATGGTAGACTTCGGGAGCTGGAAACTGGTACGGTGGTACCTCGGGTTACATACGCTTCAGGTTACATACGCTTCAGGTTACAGACTCCACTAACCCAGAAATAGTACCTCAGGTTAAGAACTTTGCTTCAGGATGAGAACAGAAATCATGCTCCGTCGGGCAGCAGCAGCAGGAGGCCCCATTATCTAAAGTGGTGCTTCAGGTTAAGAACAGTTTCAGGTTAAGAACAGACCTCCGGAACGAATTAAGTATTTAACCCGAGGTACCACTGTATTATAATTTCCCACAGTGCCTCAATGCATTATGGGAGATTAAAATGGCTCCCAGCCACCCAGTAGTCATTCAGAGCAGTGCCCACTTCCAGGGCCCATCAAGGTAGCAGGGAGCCCCCTGGAGGGCAATTTGCTGAGTTTCCGGCCCTCCAAAAAACCCACCCCTGGAGCCTGCTGTTTGGGAACCAATTAGAGAGCACCTTAAGGACCTCACAGTCTCAACATAATGTGCCCCACACTGGGAAACGAGCAGCTCTCTCCTATACCAGTTGCCTCCCCTGGACGTCCTTCAGAGGCAGCCCTTGAAAAGCGCTTTGGACAAGTCGAGGAGTCGCAAAGGTGTGAATGATTCTTGCCAGGCCCAGCTTGGTAGGAAAG